TATATATATATAGATAATTCAATACAATTTTTTTCTCTTTTTTTCGTGGAGACATTTTTCATCAGCCATTATTGTCCCGTTATTGAGGGTGAAATTTGGAAAACGACGGTCCTCCTATGAATCAGGTTGACTTTCGGCCCAAATCGCCAAATCATCCATGGGAGGCATATCGTCGAACACGTGGCTGGTCTGCTTTCACTGGATGAGGAATCTCCTTTACAATTACATAACAAAAACTAAGAACGCGCCCAGCGATCAATTCTGGAGTGCGAATGTCGTACGGGATATATTTAGTCATTGATTTTTTTCTTCTTCGCCCCTCTGTCTCTCCTTCCATCCAAATTTTCTTTCTAAGATTTAAAAATGATGTATCAAATGGCGGACACGACAAGGGTCTCCGATGAGTATTACATGAGTGTCGGGCAAGTTTCAGGTATCAGATCGGCTGCGGGCATTGATCATCTTCTGATGTATGGTCAGATGGAGATCGTGAAGAAGGAGGCGGCGCGTGTGAGGTTCGCGGAGAACATGGTGCACCTCATCCCTGTTTGTTATCATCATCTGCGCCACGGTTTTTTGATGTTCTCCAACCCTAGTATGATTTCTCTCTTTTTTAATGACTCTTTGGCTTTTTACAATCAGGATTTCAAAATCTCTTTCGATTCTTGTTTTGAGGATTCATTAGTTGAGATAGTTTCTCGGAGTCAATGAGTATTTATTCAGTATTGATCAAAGTGGTTTTGAATCATATTCATCGTCATGGAAAAACAACAACAAAAAAAAAATAAAAATAAAACTGAAAAAAAGAAGAAGAATCAAGTGAAGCCTTACTGTAATTCCTGAATCAAAAGAATCAAATGTAGCATTTATGTAATTCCTGAATCAAGAAGGTATGTGTGTTTTATTGATTGCATTATTAAGAGTTTAAGAAATTTCAGAGCAAGTTCATTTGATGTTGAAGCATTGAATTGATGATCCTTAAAACATTTGATTTTTTTTTTTCTTTTGTGTTCTGTTGTAGACATTGAGATGATGAGTAGAGCTGATTCCATCCTTGCTAGAACCATTGATGGTTATAACAATTGGAACGACACAGCCGTGACAGTTGGGATTGAAGTTTTGGATCCAATAGATGGGATTGTCACAAAGGATTCCGGAAGAAATATAGACAACAAAAATCAATATAAATAGTTCATTAGGTTATTTTACAGGTCCTGTTTCCCAACTGCTCGTGTCTGTGAAAAAAATGTGAACTTTTTATATGATGGATACATCTGCCTTTCTTCAATGTTTAAGGCTCTCTTTGGGGTGTGATTTTCTATTTATTGCATCTATTTGTAAAATCAGATAAAAAATTATTTATTTTTATTGTAGAAAATGGATTATTTGTTCAATTTTTGTTTAAAAGAACTATGTTTGTAGAGCAAGAATGAACCAATTTTAGGGGATGTAGAAAGTATTTCAACATGCAATTGATGCAAAACATAATGGTTTTTAATAAAGTAGTGGACCATCCAATATTCCATCCATATGTTCAGAAAATGTGGCTTGCCTTTCAGTTCTAAGCTACGGATGGATGGGATATTTGTAAATTTTTAATTTTTTATACTTAATTCGGGAAAAGGATTAAATATTTTGTCCCATAACCTATAACAATAATGACTATGCATAAATAGCTTTCCAAGTATTATTAATTTCTCAGAAATTGAAACCTCGTACTTCCTGTGTTCAAACTGCCAATAGAATTGTAATGGCTATAACTATTTTTCATGTTGTGATTCAAAGAAAGATTTTGGGCATTTACATAATACCACCAAATTCCTACAAATGTAAGTATTGAATGTATGAATATTTTTTTTTTGCATTTTTAACATCAAAATATTTCACATGACATCAAAACTAACACTATTATAAGTTAAAAACAAAGGTGAAATTCACCTTTTTCATGTAGAGTTAAAGTACTATAAATATAAAAATTAAAGTTTAAATGTTACATTTGTAAATACAAAGGACTGGGTGGCATGTACGTAAATCTATGCAAAAAAAATGAAAAAAAAAAATTGGGACTCGTAGGGTTTCCAATAGGTTTCTCATGTTATGGTGGGTGCTATCGAGTCATGGGTGACCCAATAAAGATAGGCCATGGATGAGCTTGGGCTTGGGCTTGGAAATTGTTCATTTAGAGATTGGGCTTAGGCTAGGCCTTTCATGACATTTCTCTTCAATTAATTATATAATTAATTGATTAAGTGAGATGCACAAAAAAAAATCCCATGATTATGGTTTTTTATGTGGCCATAGGATTAACCATGTGGACTTATTTGGATATTGAGTTGGTCACATGTCCTTAAGTTGAGCCTATGATCAACGTGTTGATCATATGGTCAATGTGTTGACCATATAGTTTTGGGTTAACCATATGGTCATGTGCTGACCATATGGTGGTTAGGTAGGTGATACACCTAAAATATATAGTATTTTTAGACACATTTTTATACCTATTTTTGAGATATTGTGCTTTAATGGAAGGTATTTTTGTGCTTTTCTTGCAGATACAGGTAAAAAAGGTAAAAAATGATTAAAAGAGTGAAAAAGGATCAAATTTGGAGCAGAAATGTGAAAAATGTGCAAATGAGTTTTGGCGCCTAAGCGCCAGATCTGGCGCTTAAGCGCCGGGTAAACAGAGAAGGCCGTGCCTAAGCACAGGCGTCCCACTCTTAAGCGCCAGTGGCAGTTACTAGACGAGTAAAGTCAGTTTTTGCGAATTTTGAAGATGTTTTTGAGGCACCCATTGGCTTAATAGTTAATTATAACCACCATGGAAAAAAATTATCACGCAAGGATGCATCTCTTAGGGAAATACATTGAATCTAGACATATTTTGAAGAGAAACCAAGGCACCTTTTCGAAAATTATAAAAGAAAGAAGAGAGGACTTAGAAAAGAGTCCTGAAAGGATTGGAAAGTTTTGAAAGTTCTCATTTGGGGAGTTAGTTCGGAGAGATTTTCAGGCACCACTTTTACTTTTATTTTATCCTTTTTATTATTTTATTTTGAGTGATTGTAAAGAGAAGAGAATCAAAGAAACTTCAAGAGTTTGGTGGAGGACTTGAGATAACTTTTTATCTTTTTGTTTTGAGACTACTTCTGGTTTTAATTGAGACTTGTTGTTGGTTTGACAATGATTTCTTCTTTTAAACTAAA